TATGGAAGAAAAGCGAATAGAAATCGATGTAAATGGTATAAAGTTTAAAATTTTACAAGATATTGTAGATAAAATTACTCTTTCTGATTGTGAGGCGTCAAAAATATTTTTAGATAAAAAATCAACAGAAGATAATGTTGTCTATTTCGAGAGAAATGCAGGACTATTTGGATCAATTCTTTGTTACTATCAAGGTAGAACCCTCCACGTGCCATCTGGAGTCTGTCTCGGGGAGTTCAAAGATGAGCTAAAATTTTGGGGTATTGACCCTAAGCATTTATCGAAATGCTGTATGGGTCAATTTATTACCTTCTGTGACGATCAAGACGTACTGCAAATTCTAGAAAACGACCAAATCAAGAAAGAAAATAATAGGACAAAACTTAAATCACGAAAACAAAGTGAAGGCATGTGGAAATATATTCAGGCCAAAGGATGGCTAATACTTGAGGAACCTAGTACTTCTATTTCTGCCAAGGTTTGTTCATAAGTAATGTTCTTCACGATAACTCTGATCAGTGCAGGTAAGATTATTTTTTTGTTCTTGAACACAGAGATGGTATACCGATGTTTAGGTCAATTCTTCGTATACTTTGATATTTCTTTCTTGAAAACACAGGTAGTATACTATTACTCAGGTAAATTCATCATTTACTAGAATTAATGCATCAAACCAGGAATATGGCAGTTGTTTTTCACTTGTTCCGTTGATTGATAGCGTTTGATTTTGTCAGTTTTTATGGACTTCCCCCTTTTTGAATTTTCCTTGGAGTTCACTTGGAGTCATGCTGTATTTTTTTACTTTAATTGTTCGTTCTTCGATACAAATGTAGTATACCGATGTTCAGGTAAATTCCTGATTTACATTAATTTTTCTTTCTTGAATACAAACTTTAAGTTAGTATTCCATGTTCAGATAAAATCTTCGTTTGCATTCGTTTTTTTGTTGTTGAATACCTTTTCCTTCATAGAGGGTTGCAGCTTACAAGGAAGCTATTAAAACAAGAGTTCCAAGTGGTGAAGTTGAAATCATTCCTTTCAAAATATTAAGGACGCCATCACTAGTTGGTTGACCGTTATTGAATATCTGTTTCACAGATGACGACAGATATGTTTCACTTGTCGTAACCACAATCCCGTCGTCTTTTCTCGAATGTGACCACCGAATTAGACTTATTACCGTGATACATGTGGAGAAGGATCTGCTTACCCTTCCAAATCTCATGAGATCACCCTTGGGTTTTGGTGAGGTTCAGTTATGTTTTGTATATTGTTGTTTGTCTTTTGATCGTTTTTCGTGTTTTGCCATGAAATTGTCAGCTTGTTTTTGGCTTATGATATAAAAATAACAAGATGTGGTGTGATTGCAAATGAGACAAATCTCCACAAGAGACCAATTGACATAGAAGTTAACAACTATAGGTCATCGCTCGGCATTCAACAATGAGCAAAACCAATACCGCATAGTTAGCTATAAAAGGCCCCGAAATGACAAATGTAAAAAAATTCAAACAAGAAAACTAACGGCCTGATTTATGTACAAATCAATGCACGAAAAACAAATATGATATACAGCAACAAACGTCAAACACTGAATTACAGGCTCCTGATTTGGGACAGGAAAACGCAAAATGTGGTGGGGTTATACTAGTTAGCTGGCGCCAAACCCTCCGGCTAATACCGAACAGGTGTGTAACAGTGCAACATAATAACGAACTAAAGAAATCAGTTGAAAAGAGTTTGAATATCACTTTGGTATCTTGCCCCTCTCTTGTATACGTTTGTTAAGATTAATTCTTGCGTTAATATTTTTTTCCTTTGCTGAATACAAAGGTACTAAGGCGATGTTCAGGTAAATTAATTGTTTACGTTCATTTTTCTTTGTTGAAAACAAATGTAGTATACCGATGTAGGAGGACTTTTTTTCCGGACGAAATCGAAATATCCATTTTTATTTTTTGCTAGTTCAGCTTATTTAGTATGTGCCTGTCTTGGGCAGAGTTGTTTATTTTCAGTTATTACTAGGCCTGAATATTCATTTACATCCTCCGAATATCAAATGGGAATCCCATAAAAAGAGCTTGTAAATAGATTTAAATATCTATAAGTACTGTAGTCTATACAGTGAATGCGACTCATTGTGAACACTTTTGCTAAAAGTCGTGGCTATAAGGAAAGTATCTAGTAAATACAAATGTAAATTACAGTATCCTGCTCGTAAAACAGGATCAATGTATACAAATATAGTTCAACTTACGGTCTTCAATGATGAACAAAACCCATACCGTATATAGTGAGCCCGGCATGACAAAATGTGACAGGATTCAAAAGAGAAAACCTGATTAATGATCAAAATAATAAATGAAAAACAAACATGGTAGACAGCTACCAAGGACAACCACTGAAATACAGGCTTTTGGACAGACACAACCCTAAACTATGTATTATATTTTGGCATTACAGAAGGTCATGCTTTTCTCAGACTGTTTATGCATGGCGTCTTTATACTTAATCCGTTTGATTTGTATTGATTGATATTTGAGTCTGGGAAAACATTATTTGTGTATTTTTAGATTTTGTCCAGTTGATATTTAGATGTCTTCTTATTGGAGGACCTTTTCAAATATGTTATGAAACTTTGAAAATAAATTGAATACTTAATGTTCAACAACTGTAATTAATGTATCTTAGTGTTACGAAATTGACGATAAAACTCGTTGAATCCCAAGTTTACACTCCTTGGAGATCAAATATCACGTGGATGATCATAAGAGAGATTAAAAAAACGAATCAGTAAGCGGATAATGTCATGGCTAAGCTCAAATTCTTCATATTTTACATTCCATAAGAAGGTTTCACTACAAATTCCAAATATTATTCATCCGATATAGTTGAATAAAATATTTAAAATCTATATTCAATGGACTTAAGAAGAATAAAGGAAATATTAAAAATTTCAAATCAAGCGAGAAAGAGATAAGAAAGAAGTTACTTCTCAAGACAAATAGATGAAGCAAAATGAGAGAGATTTCTTTATTAAAAGTATTCGGTATACTTTACATATTAGTTCTCGCTCTTTATCTGCCTATCCTGTATTATTATTTTTAGGTCTTCTGAAAACAATTTTACAAGCAAGCCAAAGAAAAAAAGCAAAAACAAAAAACAAACATAAAAACACATTGTTCTTCTTCTTAAGGGGATACATGGCTTTTTCAAAAAACAAATACTCACATATTTGCACCTTCATAAGACCCACGCACTCTATCTAAACTGCGACATTGATTAGAACAATTACAAGTATTACAAAACCAAATTGTTTGTATATATTCAAAAGTACATCGATGAAGGCGGGTCCAATTTTATATTTAACGCCAAACAAACCAACTTTATAAACTGTAAATATTTAATGTTTTTAAAATTACAATGAAGCTGTTATTGAAATAAGATTTTATCACATCATGTTTTACTAAATCCTGATTTGCATGTATAAAATATGAAAACAACACGTTATAATTCCATGCGTCAGAAGCTCTCTTTATATTTTTCAAAGTACACGGAAGTGATTATTTTATCTAATTTTAAATTCAAAGCTTTAAACATTTTTTTTAAATATTATATCATTTTTTTATTATTAATTTGAAATAGACCATGATCTTTTGCAACACTGGCATAGCATTGCCGACTAAAACAAAAAAAAACAACATTGACCTGAAAAAAACCAGAATTAAAACAAATCACTTGTCTTGAAATTTCCCATAGTTCTTTGCACTTTGTTTTTAATAAAAACACGTGATTGCCAGTACAAAAAAAACATCCGACTAACACTGAAAAACAAACACAAAGTTTTCAAAATTTGAAATTTAAAAAAACCTTCAAGTTGCTATATTATCAAAATTGATAACCTCCAATTTATCATTTATATATAAGACTTCAGATAAATTGTATTATTCAGAAAAGGAGAAGTATAAGGACACAATGTGACCCTTGGATTTAGTTCTTCAGATGTTCACAGGATTTTAGTCGGTCACGTGACGACATGTTTATGACATCACAGTGACACTAAAAACTACAATTGACATGTCTGCAATAACGTTATAATACTATACGACTTCTTTTTTATTCATGAAATAAACATAATTATGAAAGGATTGGAGAATTCCCTATCATTTCAAATAGAGGGAACACATCATTGCTTTTATCTTACTTTCTCCCATCCCAGCAGTGGTGGTAGGTACAAAGGTACTCTATCGTAGAAGAGTTGGAATATTCAATTTTCTGTGATAGCGATAAAATCTGATTCTTCTTCCAAGTACGAAAGTTGGCTCCTAGAAATGAGTGTAAAGCATCTCGAAACCTATGTGTTATGTACATTGAAAATATTGTTGAATAAACAACTAAGAATTACAAGTTAAAAGAGAAAAAAGTAAAATTTGTTTAGCAAAGTGAGTAGTTACATGGCAGTGTAGCATTGAAGAGACAGTGGGGATGGTAGATTTTAAATGCTAGAATGTAGATCTCCTATACGTCTTTTTAATGGTTTTAAGGTTGATGACATACCTTTAGATTCAGGAAGGACATTCCAATCTTTAATATATTTATAGACATGTTTGTTCGTGAAGATACTGACATCTGGAGTCGGTTTCACAAAAAAAACTTACAACTAAGATTGATCGTAAATCATGAACAATTCAGTATATTTACGATCAATCTGAGTCGGAAGCTTTTTTGTGAAACCCACTCCTGAATTTTAGATATACTCTATCGTAACCGATATTCAAATCCTAAACTACTGCACGTTAAAACAACAGATAAGGCTAGAAATAAAAGCTCATGATATGTAATAACTTGGAGTGATACCAGTGATTTATGCAATGTATTTTGAACAGCAAGCAACGCCGGTATAAATGTTATAAATAACACAACCGATCATATTTTGTAAATGTTAAAAACAAAATTCACAAAATTACAGACATGCTTACTTTTAAATTATTCAATTTCAGGTCTATTTCTTCACTAGTGCAATGTTTGTGCTAGCGTCTATATTTGGACTAGTCTGTGAGACACATCCATCTTTCAGAAGAAATCTTATCCAATCGGAATGGAAGGAGTATTTTGGAGATGATTTCGAGGCATATAAAGGTCACTTCGATGGATCAAATACCGCAAATACAACAATCCCACCACTCCCGGAAATGGTCAGCACAAAGTTGGATTTCCTATATTATATAGAATTCATAACGGTGGCATACTTTACTTTAGAAATCATCACTCGATTTATATTTTTTCCTTACAGGTACACAATTTTTTTCTGTGACTTTCTGAACCTCGTCGACATATTCTCTCTTATGGTAATGTTTTCAATCTATTTTGCAAATCTCGCCAATCCAAAAGACAAATACGAAAAGTCTATTTTTGACATTATTCATTGTCTGCAAATAGTTCGAATATTTAGACTATTCCGATTGGTTAAAAACTTTACAGGATTTCGCGTGCTCATGTATGCAGTCCGAGCTAGTGGCTTTGAAGTCTTACTGATGTCAATGTTTCTTGTTGTTGCCATGTTGATGTTTGGGGCATTTGCATTTTTCTCTGGAGATACGGCGTTCCCTAGTATACCAGATTCATTTTGGTGGGCAGTTGTTACTATGACGACCGTTGGGTATGGCGATATGGTACCTACTATTGGATTATCAAAGTTTATTGGTGGCCTGTGTGCTATAACTGGTGTTTGTCTGTTGGCTGTCATCATACCAATATTTGTAAACAACTTTGTTATGTTTTACAACTATTCAAAAGTGTGGCGAACCGCTTCGGAAAATGATTACGCAAATGTATCCAAGCCACATCAAAACTCGTGTCACAAGGCAGTTCCACATTCCAAAGTAACACCACAACCTATTTGACATATGAACAAAGATGATACGATGCGCGTTCATCAAGAACCTATTTAACATTATTTCAAACTTGTATCTGTCTACAATTGTATTTTAGGGACTTTATTTCTCTCAAATTTAATTTGTTTGCAAGTTAATACTTTATTTGCGTAGCTTAACCACCGATGAAGATACTTATTGTTGCATAAATTAGGGGGGGGGGGGGGGGTAGAAAGCAACAAAGGTAGATATTTACTACTTTACGCGAATGTTTTCATTTTTTACTTTAATAACTCTGATGTAAAGGAACCCTTACGGAACATTATTTAAAAATATATGTGGGGTATACGTTAATGACACAATCAAAGGACACAATATACTCTCAGAAATATAATAACAACTGATTGTTAATGAATTTTTAAGCACAATTCGAGAATATGGCAATATTTCATTTTATTCACATAGTTATTCACATGCTTATAATTAAGAATCTTTAATTTGTTAAAAGTAAAAAAAAAAAAGGTCAACACTTTAAAATACTACATCAAAGGGAAAAAAATACCTCCATAATAACAAATTTGACTCATAGTTAAATCATACTTTTTCTGTAAAAATCACACTGTATATTAATTGAGAATTTATCAAAATGTAAAATGAATTTACAATTTACAAAAATATCTAGACCGCAGTGTTGACCACTGAACGAGTTTAATCGTTTTGTAATTAGTTAAAAGAAGTCTAGATCCAGTGGCAAAAATCAAAGTCAAATTTGTGATGTTTTTAACATCTTTCTGAAAAACCTCATTAGGATGACTTAAAACTATTTATAATATCTGAAGGTGTAAACGTATAGGGATCTCATTACGAAAAATGACTCGAAGAACTTTCATCCTTAGTTTCTAAAAAAAAATAAAACTGGATCTATTTAAGATAAGAATATTTATAAAAATGTATGCGATCAATTCAAACATTAGTCACTACTAGCAAAGGTTTTAAACCCAATGATAATAAAGCAGTTTTGAACTTACCGACAAATTGTAACAGTATTTTTTAGATTCATGAGAATACCAAGCATCTGTGTGAATTAATGTAGCGGTATAGTTTTTAAGACATATAACAAAGAATTTCACGTAAACTGGTGTTGGATCACAGTCTAGGGGCATCTTGAACGTGCGGTGAGGATATTAGGCTTTGTTCCGTGTTGAGGTACCAAGTTGAAATTGAAGACAGTGATAAGTGCGTTGTCCCTTGGCTTAAGATTTTGTAAAGTGCATGCATAGATTTCGCGTTGTGAATAAAAGCACAAAATCCATGTTTATTCTTTGAATTTGCTTTGTTCGAAGTTCTTTTTCTTGATAAGTGACAAAAGTTTCAAAATTGCGAAAAGCTTATGTTATCTTCCTGATATTTAATGTTACATTTGGTGTACTTTAGGGTGTAGTAAGTGCTCAAAACGTGATAGTGGCCGAGTTCTAATATTGTGTGATGAGTTTCTTTGACAGAAAATGTGCATTTGGTGCATATTTGCCTTAGTATCGTTTTATAATGTATCACAATGCCAGTTGACAACTTTTAAGCATGTTAAGGTTTTATTATTCTATTCAATGCACATGTATTACTTAGCTGTTTTCAAGATAACAAATTATTTTTACAAGGTTATTTATCAAAGCGGGACTGAAGTTATAAGAAATACAATGTTAGTGTCACCTGGGAATACCTCTTATCAATCATGTTAAGATGATGAGCAGTATAGCAACTGTATTACATTCGTGATTAAATTAAAGAACAATATTATTAAAAAGTACGATAACTTTTACCATAGAAGGCAGATTACGTGCATCCTTTGTATATAGAAAAAAAAAAGAAAAACAACACGTTATATTTTAATGCGTCCGAAGCGCTTTTCTGGATTTACCTTCAAAGCCAAATATTTGAAAGCAAAGGATTTCTAAGAACTAAAACAGTTGAAGAGCTAAAAGACATAAAAAAACTGACAAATCCATCTCAAGTCAACTTTGCCTGAGGGAGTTGAAACCTCAATTTCTTTATAATTTCAAAATTTATAAACGGACAACTTTAGAAATGTTTATTATAAATCATGTCAGTACCGAAGTACTGACTATTGATCTGATGATACCATCGGGGACTAATAGTCCAACAGCAGAGCAGGTTGTGAATCACACTGATATTATTTTTCAAAACTATTGGTTATATTATTAACATATTTAGAATTGTCAGGACATTTTTTATTACAGTATAACTTTTCAAGCCTGAAAGCTAAAGGTCTAACTTAAATACTGTTTTGTCTGTCAACAGTTGTAGAAGTTCATATTAATGCTTAATTCAACTTTTGAATCAAAGGTACGATATCTTTTATTTCTACTAAGTGTGCTTGTATATAATGTTACCTATATTCATCATTTTGACTTCCGACATACTACAAATGAAATGATTTCCACTTATTTATTTATATAGAATAAAAAGTCACGTTTGTATTCAATGGATGTAATTGCTTAATAAAGTTTTAATGGAATGGCTCTTGGTCTATGTTAAAAGTTATAGGACTCTTAATTTTCCCATTGTTTGTTTTATATGTAAAAAGCAGATTTGGTTATCTACACCTCCGAAAAGTCATCTTTGCACTTAGATTCTGATTCTGCCATCTTATGGAGAGAGAAAAGAAAACACCAACTTAATATGATTAATCGTGTCTTTACTTTAAAGAGAAAGATCATTATTATTTGTTTAAAATTTGAATTACCATTTATCATTCTAATATGACGACCTTTATTACGTAAACCAGTATTTTCGCAGTATATTTATTTTTTAGCACAACCATTTTAAAATACACAAAATTGGCTGTTCCGCGTTACGCCCACCTTATAAATACGACCAGGTGAACTGAACTTGCGACAGTAAAATCCAAGTTTTACGTAGGCCACACTTCAAATACAACACGGTTAACTCTATTCTATGCAAAATAAAACAAATCAGTATATTTCAGTTATTATTTTGATGTAAACAAAATTTCCACGAAATGATGTTATCGTCTTTGGCAACTAAACAAGGTGACGTCATATGTATGCCTCCGGCGTCAAATGTATAAACACCGGGCGTTTTCAGCCAGGCTTTTTGTTCGCCTCAGACTGTAATAAAATTAGATAAAGTACGCTCGGGATAAAATATTGGAATATAAATTCCCAACTCATGGTTAAATGAAACCAAATCTACGGCTGCCATGGATTATTTCTTAATCATAACGTTGTACAATAGTACGTATGGGAAGTTCAACGTATTGGTCACTTCATGTTTGGTTAGAACCGATAAATTTTAAATTTGTTTTACATAATTAATAGATGAAAGTTATGTGAGACAGAAGATGAAAAAACAACAACAACGAATAAAACAAATATGTGAAAGTGTAAACATACGATTTTAAGAAATAATCAAGTGTCTATACTATATGTCCAGCTCTAAATCGCCACCAAGCGACAGGTTATGAAAAAACGAAACCACCAAAGATCTGTCATCAAAACTATAATTCATAATGGTCAAAACACTAAGGATCGAACATCGATGACGGCAGACTACATTCCTGATTAGAAAAGCAAAGTAACAAATCTTAAACAACACCATTTTCATATCAGTATATGGAATACTAAAATGTACAGAAAACAAAAACAAAGCACAATTAAGCAAAGGACTAAATAATATTAGTATTGTAGGCGATGAAACCATATCTGCATTTGATCACCATTAAGCTTGCTTACACTTTAATTTGTGTAAATACACTTGAATTATGTTTTTGTTTCTAAATTTGAATATGGAAAGACAGTAATATAAGTTAGAAGATTAAAGCCAGGGTCTTTTTTTTTAAATTTCCTCTTTAAATTGTCTCTTTCATGTCAGAAATATGACATTCAATATACATAAATATATTCATATAGCTTTCATAATATATTTTCAATAAAAAATGAACAATATTTTTGTGAGAAAGAAGAAGAAAAATAAAAACCACAGAAATTTGGATTTTTGGCAACAGCAAAAATAAGTCTTAATTACAGCATGTAATACAGCTCATACTTATGGTTTTCTCTAGTTATATATGCACAAATTACTATGAATACATAAATTCAATTATAAACAAAAACAAAACAACAAACATACAAAACATAACAATAGCAAATATATAACATGTATGGGGATGTGGATAAGGTTCAAAAAGTGACACTAAATTAGGTAATACCAAGGTTTTTATAATAAAAACTATACTAGTATTAGAGGCCAAGGTTCCCAGCAGATATTGGCCACGTGAAAAGGGTTACTTTTGAAATATTTATTCTTTCCTAGCATCAGAACTTCACTATGAATATAGAATTTTGTCAAGAGTATTATTAACTTTTTTATTTCATTATTTCCTGTTTTTCCTAAATTTCCAAATAAGAGGATATCCATGTTTAATGGAATTATTATTTGTGTTTATCATGAATCCAACCACTGAGTTTCCTTCACAAATCTGATGTCTTATGGTGTGTCCAAAATATGCGTTAATATCTCCAATAGCTTCATTGCAGAAAGTACATTTCTCCATTTGTCATATTTTAATTTTGAAAACAAATCATTTGTCCCTAAGATTCTGTGTATTATTCTATATTTGAATCATTGAAGTTTTGAGCTTTTTCTGGTGTACACAAACATATTATGCACTTCATTTTTTCAATCAAAACTATTATTCAATCTTAAGGACCATTTATCTTCACAGTTGAGTCTAGTTCTTTTTTTCCTAATAAAACAATACTCATATCTTTCGAGCCTTTGTTTGATAAAAAAAAATCTTATATTATTTGAAAGAATTGGTTCTTTGAATTTTATAACGATTGTCTAAAGAGATATTTTTCTTGAGAGATTTGTTTATATAAATCAAGCGTTGATATTATCCTATTATTGGCAAGAAAGTTAGATTTAATTTTATAAATATGTTGGCATTGTTCAGAAGACATTAATTTGCCCTCATTATCTAGAGAGTCATGTATCAACCAAATCCCTATATCTACACAGTCTTTAGAGAAAACAGATGCGTTTCCTATTTAAATTTTTCACTATTTTAATATTTTTTATATCTATTACTTGGTCTTAATTATAGTAAACTTTCAATATTGATATTTTCTGTGTTTTCTACTGGATTTTTAAGTTTTGTATTGGTTTTTTTTTTATTAATCC